GGGGGAGAGAGGGAGAGAGAGAGAGAGGGAGAGAGGGGGGGGGGGGGAGGAGCGAAAGAAACTTAAGTTACTGATTGTCACCAGAGGCCACGAAGCGAGAGAAAGTGGTTAGCCACGATCGACAGGAACCTGTGTACATCGTTTCCAGTTGTAATTAAGATTTGTGTGCGCTCGTATCTTGTGGATCTTGTTGTTGTGTCGTCGATCTTGATCCAGAGACCAATCTTCCTTTTTTCCTTTCTTATTTAGAAAACCTTCTTTTTTCTGATGTTGTTCTTTGGTGTCTGGATTTTGCCACAGGCTGAACTGGAAGTGGTTCTAAACTTGGCTCCATTTGGCAGCAGTGAGCATTTGATATTGGCAAAAGACAATCTACTACTATATTCAGCAAAGGTTTGTTCTCTCCTCCTTCTCTCCCTCCTCCTCCATGTGTCATACTCCTTTGCCATCTACTATCTGTTATTTTGCATCCAGTTTGATCAGTTCCTTCCGGTCATTTTTTTGTGCAAATCAAAGTTAGCCTGTCTAGTTTTCTACTTTTCCTATGCACTTTTGACATCGTCCTCCATGCTGTTCTTGTGCTCCTTTGTTGCTCACGTCCCACTTCTTCCCTATTGATATTTTGAAGTTTTTTTCTATTTTTATTTGTGTCTGTTTGCTTGTGTTTTGAATTACATTTATTCTTTTTTTGTTGTGATTCATTTGATAATGCTTTATGTGTGTACCATTCAGTCGTCAAGGAGGTACTGCGCCATTTTTGTTTGGCATGGCTCTACTTTTGAGCATGCAGTTGTTATACCTGAGATAGTAGGTTTGGCTCTATGCACGGCTAGGGACGGAGAGAAGACCGGTCTAATCTTGAATCTGTGTGTTTGTCTCAGCCTCTCCTGAACTGTTCTTATTACATTAACAAAACGTCCTATGTCCAAGAGGGCCTCTACTAACAATGAGGAAAGCAGCCCCCAGTAAGGAACTGTCCCAAGTGAGATAGTACCAATCAATTGGTGGGGCGCTGCACCTACTCAGAATGGGGCATATTGCAGTAAATTAATGTATGGGGCGTGTTTGTTTATGTTACCTTTGAGTTTCGGATAGGTGAAAAAAAATTGCTTGCAAAGAAAACAGCTGCCGATTTCGAAATTAGGGTGTGTAAGAAACTTTGACATTGCTTTCAACTGTGATTGATCACAGATTTGAAACATACTCCCTGTTTGTGATCTTCTTTTGTTGCTGCAGGAAAGAGGTGTGTTGACAGTGGGTGTCTCCTCTGCTGCAGCAGCTGCAACAGCTGCACACTGTCCGCATTCAGGCTCTATGTCAGGTGGGGCAGCTTCTCTTCTGCTGATGGGGTCTCGTCGCAGCATTTGCCCCATTCTGGAACTGGAGCAAGTTTGGAGGACTCCCTGACTGGTCACAAAGACGAATGTTGGGCTGGAGTTGAAAAAGTTGTTTGCAACAGTTGCGCTGTTGGGCATAATCCAAAACACCAGGCATGATAACTAGTGTAGAAAGAGAGTAGAGTGAGCATGAGGAAGACATTCAGAGAGGACGTGAGGGTTAAGGGTAGAATATGGCACTGAGAGAGAAACCCGGACCATATATATTGTTACAGTCGGCTACAGCTTCCCAGTAGGGAATGTGGTAAACTTGTTCACCGAGCTAGTTTGTGGCCCTCATATCGTGTGTATTTTTGTCGAGTGTTAGTTCAGGTGACATGGAGCATTCGTTACTGGTGAGGGTCAAAGCGTTATTTTCTCCCTCTTTTTGTTCTCTCTCCCTCTCCTAGTCTCTCTCTCTCTCTCTCTCTCTCTCTCTCTCTCTCTCTCTCTCTCTCTCTCTCTCTCTCTCTCT